AGAATATTTACTAGTATTAAAATTTAGACTAAAATAAAGTTTGTATTTCCATTTCCTAATATTATTTTATTATTACATTAATAGAAAACAAGGTTCAGTTAGCTTTGCATAGAAGCAGCTGGTAGAAATGTGTTTCAAAGAGCTACTTTTACTCTGAGTACATTTCAGTACTTTTTCCATTTTCACTTGAGTAAAGAAGTGGAATCCGTACTTCAACTTTTACTGGAGTATTTTCAAACACTAGTATCTGTACTTCTACTCAAATACAGAATCTCTGTACTTTTTCAACGTCTGGCTGGCTGCAATTCATTTACAGCAAATCCCACTAAGTGTGGGCCTGTCTACCCCAGTATTTCTCCTCCAGCTGTATTGGTGGATGAAACCTACATAGAGGATGCTTCCTAGGTGAATGAGAACCAACGAGGACTTTATCAGCAGCGGTCAGAGTACCCAGTGCCCACGCTGTGAGCAATTGAAGAGCTGCTCCAAAGGTTTCTGTCTGAATGTGGTAACACAACATCAAATATGAGGCATCTGGAGTCAATCTGCATTGACCACTTTGTTAAACTTCCTTCAAGGCCGTCTTACATGAACACAAGTTAGAATATTTAACTTTGACCTTTGCCATTCAGTAAACTTCCCTTTCTTCTTTTTGAGCCATGGATTTAAGATTAGTATTGTTATCCTACTGAAAGTCTGATTTTTGATTCTCTCACATAACTATCCAGAGGGAAAATCCAATGTTTTCTTATATGTTCATTGGCAAACAATTGTTTTGCTGTGCACAGGGGTAGAGTGGCTCCTCCACCTTTTTGGCGGGTTGGTGATTTGATTCTTCAGTCTGAAGTGTTCTTGGGCAAGACACTGAACATCTTATTTTCCTGCCATTCGACTTTGAACGTGTGTGATTGTTAGTAAGCGCCTACACGGCAGAGAATAGAGTGCTGGCTGAAGGAGTGGATGCAACTAGAAGGAAAAGGATCATTGAGTCCGTTTATTCCACCCTAGTGTTCGTTTTGGACAGCAAAGGCTGGAACACTTGGAACACTTCCCATCCCAGTTAAATTTGTCTCTTTGTGACTGGAAATGCATGCAATTTGGCACTGAGATGCAGATTTTCCAGCAGATCCTTGGATCAAATTGAAGTGTCTGGACTATTCTTTCCATCAAACTCTACTCGCAATTTATTTTCTTTTTTTCCACAGTGAATGATTTTTATTTATTTATTTTGCAAAAGTGACAATTAAATATTAACTGGTGATTCTAAATTGGCAAGATGTGAACATCTGAGCATGTTGGCCTCTCTGTATAGCCTTGTGACTGGCTGGTGACCTGTGCGGGGTGTACCCTGCCTCTCGCCCTGCCACAGTTGCGATAGGCTCCAGCCTGTCAGCGACCCTGAATCGGATGCGCAGAAGAAAATGGATGGATGTATGCAAAATGTTGTTTTTGAGTGTCAGCCGTTTCCGCTGGATACAAATATATTTTTTCACATATTGTCGATGCTTCTGTGCAACTGTTGTTGTTTTGTTCTCAGCGTCTGTCTGCAGCTTTGAACCCGAAAGGTTTCAGGAACTTAAAAGTAATGTTCAAATCATAGCAGAGCTTTTTCCATGAAATAAATAAATAAAGGAGTATCCCAAAAAAGCAGCTCAGAGAGTGAAGTTGTGCTCTTTCATTTCTTCTCGTTTTGAAACACCATGTATGGCATTTTCCAGCCCTGAAATTAGAAAGTTACAGATTCATTAGAATCAAAAGTAGTAACAGAAATGTTGCCTGAAGATGTTCCCTGGATCGTCAACAGGGAGAAAAAGGGCGATGCGAGAATACAGTTGCATTTAAAAACACTCAAATCAACCAAGAGCATGACATCATGATACATTTATTTTCCTGGCTTTCTTTGAGAATGTACCATCCTAAAATCTCCTCATTAAAATGTAAAGGTGGTAAAGTGCTTTTATTCAGCCATTGTTTTCTATACAAATCCTATCATTGCATCTGCAGGGTCAGCTAACATCAAGTGGCTGATGCTGAGCCTCAGTTTTTGTACTAATGTGTACAGTTACAGGTCAAGCTCTAGCATCGCTATGCTTGTCCTGAGCTGAGTATTACAGCATTGCACATATATAATATTTAACTGATTAATTTGATGACATCAGTTGAATTTGTTGGAGCAGAAGCAGCCAATGAGCAGGGCTAAGGTCAAAGCAGGACAACCGTTACATATGTCACGTGACACAAAATGATGTCAACATATTCACTGTTAAAAATTCTTGCTCTTTTATGGGATGTTTTATGTTTTCTTTGCCATTTGAAATTATAGCCAGAAATCCAATTTTCCCACCAGCACTTTAATGCAGAGCCCATGAAGATCCAGGAGATGGTGATCACACACAAACTAAAGGATCGCATTACAGTCATCAGTAATAATCTAACCCTAAATCATTATTCCTCCTTATTTTATAACATGTTTTCACTTTTTTTGCCTTTCACCTGTGTTACTCCAGCCTGACCTTTGGCTTGGCTGTGTTTGGTATTTCAAAACAACAAAACAGTGACCTCTGAACACGGCAGTCCGGGAAATCATTTTGAAATGCGCACTCTAAACAAACTGTTGTGAGAGCTGTTCCAAACAAGGCTGAATCCTGGACGATATATAGAGTAACCCAGCCCACCACACACACACACACACACACACACACATACAAACACACACAGACACGCTGCCGTTACAGTTATAAAACCAAAAGTCAGCATTAAATTAGAAATTAGAAGCTCAAACTAAAGGTGCACAGAGAGTCTGCAACTATAATTGTACAGAAGCAAGTATTTTTGCAATGCTGGTCAGTACATTCCTCCTCGTACACTTTTCCTGTGCGTCTGAAATCAATTTGAAGGAAGAAAAAATGTAACTCTACAGGTTTGACTTTTCCCTCCAGTTTACTGGATTTTAGATGCTTGCTCCATTTGGGCATGTGGGCAGAGGTACGGCATGATGCCAGAGGCATGGTTACATTTTGGGGGAATTTCCTTAAATAATTATTAACCACCTCTGATTTTATCTCGTCTCTGCGCTCTCATGTTTGTTGCATTACTCTGCAGTATTTGAGCGCCTGACAGGATGTGTGCGCGCTATCTTGGATTTGTGCTTCTGATTTGGTTTGCAGGAGTGTGGCATGGTAAGAATATTAAATTCACTTCCTGCTATTTTCATACTTAAAAACACATTTTTAAAAAAAGTGCATTTTCCTCTAGTTGCTTACTTGTTTATCACTTTTTCAGCACAAAATGAAAATGTCTGCAGGGCTCCTGTGCTGAATGAGGGTTATTATGTCCCTGATGAAGAGACTTACTTTAATAAAGCAGAGCTCACTTACGCTTGTGATTCTGGACGGAAACCGGTGGTGGAGGGTTGGTGGGCGACAAGCAGATGTGAAAATGGGAATTGGGTTCATAAACCACAGTGTATAGGTAAGTGTTCAGTAATATCTCAACAAATTAGTTTCAGTTAGACGCTACAAATCTGCAGGAGTGCGAACTTTATTCAATACCATCGGTTAGCTGGTCATTAAAAGAACAATGTGGAGTGATGCTGTTGTATGAAAGAAGTAATGCATTCAGTTTGAAGCCATAAAAAATTATCCTTATTTGTTATTTGTTTTATTAAATTGTACTCTAATATGTAGTATAATATTTAAAACTACACAGTAATGTAATGCATGCCAAACCCAGCAATGTTTGCTTGATAGCTTAGTGTGAGTCTGACGGGTGATATTACTTTCTTCTGTTTACAGAACAGGGTCCTAAATCAGAACAGTCGAGGAGCGTGTCAGGATACATTTCACTGTGTGTTGTAGTCATATAACTATGCATGTGACAAATAAAGAATCTTGAATCAATTAGAGGACAAGAATAATATGAAAACAAGTAAAATACAGTTTAAAGAAAGTCATCAAACGAGTTTGTTGTTTTTTATCTTCTTCAGATGAAAATGCCTGCCTCCCCCCAACAATACCTCATAGAAAATATGATAAAGCAGAAGAGGGTTGGTACAAAGAACAGGAAATTATTTTGGTACAATGTGACGATGCATATGTACTCAAAGGCAACCGTAGCCCCACGTGTAGAAATGGAACCTGGAGCCCTTTGCCTGTCTGTGAGAGTAAGTCTGCCAGATCCCACACAAACAAATCACTTTCTCACCACCTTCATCAGTCGGCTTGTAATGACAGGTTTTTTTGTTCCTCACAGGAAGGAGAGATTCATGCAGTGAGCCTCCACAAATCTCTCATGCAGTCATAATTCA